CTAGAGCAGAATAAATCAAGTTCCTCACCAGGATGAGCAAAAAACAATGGACTGAACTATCAGCAGGTGGATAAGAAAGCTTATGTCAGGACCAGCAGATGGTGTAATGGTTTTGTCATTGGACTCCCACATGGTTGACCATGGTTTGAGTCCTTGACCCAGTAACTTAAAATTCACTCTGGTGCGTATGGTGTGTGCCCAAGATCTTGAGAGGAGAATGGAGAAGGGATTGTGGTGTGGCCATCCGCCCTAGGGGGCAATTTCACGTTTTTGCCTCCCTCTGTCTTTCTGGGGAGCATACACACCTTACAACAAAAATCTCTCAAAAATACACTGTGTCAGTGTCACCTCATGTGGTCATGTCAGAGTCACATGCAGACAGGCCACATTTTGAGAGGAAATCGCTATTAGCTCCAACTTTTTGTCCTCTAAACAATGTGACTGCCACTAGAAAAAAAAAAAAGCAATTTTAAGAAAGATTTCAAGTTACAGTAAATGTTTAACTTTAAGTCTACCCTACAGAAATTTCTAAGCAAAGAAGCATAGAGATTTAACCTGAAGCTCTAGATAGTACAGCTCTAAATGTATTGGGTTGTTGGAAAAGCTCCAAATGTATTGGGCTGCCATGACACATTTTTCTATGCAAAAACATGCCATGACTTCTCTGACAACCCAATTAAAAAAATAAAAATAAAAACGTAGGAAAATACTTGGGAAGAGAAAGAACAGGTTTGAAAAACTTTGTTTCATATTTCCTTCTCTCATTTCTTGCCTTGTACTGCTGATGGGTAATAAACCATTCAAAGGAATGTACTGAGGAATAACCTGAACAAATAAGCCGGCTCATCAAAAAGATGATTTTAAAAATTAGCCAATTAAAATAAAATTCTTGCTAAAGCAATCATTGGTAGGGTTAGCACAGATTCATTTTCAATTACTCCTAGCAATGATTCAGGAAGCTTATAAGCTCTTTCCTTGTAGCGGCTGTACCATCCCTCAGGGCGTCTGAATCTTCTGCCAGATTCTTTGTATTCCGACATACAATTGGTGTTGGAGGTGGAATCAAATGTATGGGAGGTTTTCAATGAGCTAAGCTTGGAAATGGCAAACTTCACTTCCTCTCATATTTTATAGCTTTTACACAATAAAGTAGGCACACCGACCTTCAAGGGAAATTGAGGCATGTGGGCTTGGAGGAATAGGAAACGTATTTGTTGAATTTCTCTCCATTCCTGTTAATAGGATAGATAGTATTAGAGTTCGAGGTCACCTCAACACACTAGAAAAAGAAGAGAGAACATGAAGGGAGAGACTTGGTTGAAAGAAGAAAGTGATAATCAGGGAGCTAGGAATTACTTTGTTAAACTGTGTGTCTGCACTGTGACTTTTTTTTTTATATCTTAGAGGGCAGGTCTATATACAGAAAACTATTGTGTTTTATTTTGATTTTTCACAATCAATATTTGATTAATTGAAGCTAAAAAAAATTTTTTTTGAGAGAGCTTTTTTTATAGGGTATATGCACTTGCCAGAGACACAGAGAAACAGAAAGAGAGAAATCATCCCCCAGGGGAGATAGCCACACTGCAATCCCTTCTCTTCCATTCGCCTCCTGGGATCTTGGGCACATATGCACATGTGCCTGGCATAAGTTTCAAGTCACAGGGTCCAGGACTGAAACCGTAGTAAACCAAGTGGGTGTCCAGTGATGTAACCACTACGCCATCTGCTGGCCCTGAAGCTAAAATTTTTTAAAAATATTTTCTTCTTCACCTTCTTTAAGTTCAGCATATTTGGTTGTCAGAGAAGTCATACATATTTTTTCTATGCTTTTTCTATGCAAAAATGTGCCATGACTTTTCTGACAACCCAATATATATGTCTTATTCTACGTATAAATCTAATAAATCTTAACAATAACTTATGGTGCCTTTCATATTTCAACTTTTATCTTATTTTACACAGTTAATTAAACACTATTAAACATTTTAAACAGTATTTATAAATTTAATATATCCTATTAATTTTTAGGTACTTCATTTGTCTAACAAATCTTCATAGATAATTAAAATTAATTCCTCTAAGCCTAATAAATTTATAATTATAAGGAATTATAACTTCTTTTACATATTCTAGTAATCATGCATACAATAGGTAATTTCACCTTAAAACTCAAAAGATAAGAGTCAATTACTCAATTATTCAGCTTCCATAAGCATGACTGCTAATTGAATAGGCCAAATTTTTTAGCCTTAACACACAACCCATTTTTGAAATGTTAAATATGCCTAATTTCTTATAATTAATAGGTTCAATTACTTAAACATTTCCATGTTTAAACTTAAATATTTTAGCAGTAAAAATAGGCTTTTCTATGAAGTAAAGGTTATCACAGTCTTTGGGGATACCATCTTAGATGGTTAGAACTTGTATATCAACCCAAGATACTGATCAGAGACACTGTGATTTGTTACTGTGACAGGGTGTACTGAGTCACATCTGTAGGCACTATATGAACCCCCCAAAGGGCCCTGCAGATCTCAAAGCCCACATAGATTTACATACTTGGGTTTGCATTTTACCTCACTCATCCAGGACATTCTGGTGGTGATATCACTGGATTCAACTTTCTTTGGTTTTTCTATTATTTAAAATAACTTCCAACATAGATCTAAATACCTCTAATCTTGATGGAAAACTAATTTTTCGTCATGTTTTTCCAATTTATTGGAAATAGCTGTCCTTAGGGAGCTAGAGAACTCTCATGGCTATACTGTCACAAAGTTCAGTCATTCCTCACATATAAAACATACACACACACACTCACATATATGCACTATCAAAGAGAACTGTCACTATCTTTGACAAGATGTAGCTCATTTGTCATCTGGGAAAAGCTTTTCTTATGTCTGTGGAGTGGTCGAGACTATAAACGAGGTAAAATTGAACCATGTGCCTGTAGTTGCATATGTAATGACCGCGATGAATTCAAAACTAGGTATTTATTATTTCAAAGCTACAACTTTGAGATGATGCATATTGTATATTTATATGTGTGAATGTTCGTACCTTGTTAGTAGTAACTTTAAAGCCAGAATCTAGCTTTTAGTTTCTGGTTTGAATAAGCAGTGATACATTCCCTCAATCCACACTCTTCCTTCTCCTTCAATAAAACTACATTTTAAGTGACTCTTCAGTGTGGGTACTGTTTTGTATATTCTCTAAAGAGCTTTGAGAAAAAAAAGTTCCTTTGGATATGTGCTACTCAATCCCATTCTTAATAATATGTATTCTTCTAAATTGCCATTACGGACCCTCAAACAGTGACCTTTGCCAATATTTATTCCCAATAACCTTCTGGTTAAGAGTACAAAATTGTAAAAAGTAAGATTCTTGACCTCAAAAGGATGACTGTGTGGAGAGATAGTCAAGTGAACACAGTTACAATACAGTATGATAAGAGTTGCAGTGAAGGTCGTTACAAGGAACAAGGGGTGTGTGTAGGGGGGCTGGGGGGTGAATGGTGGTGCAGTGGTAAAACACAGCACAGGGCAAAGCAATCCCATATGGGAAGGTTCTCTGGTCAAGTCCAGAGATCTCCCTCAATACCCAGGGCTCATGTGATTTTTGGATGAAAGGAATTAAGAGAGGCCCTTCTTTCCTTTCATGTAGGAGTTATAGTTATCTTTTTTTTTTTTGTGAGAGAGATTTTTTCCTATAGGGCATGTGCACTCACTGGAGAGACAAAGAGAAACAAAGAGACAGAACATGAGAAATCAACCCTGAGGGGGAATGGCCACAGGACAGTCTCTTCCCATTCTTCTCTCCAGATTTGGAGCACCCACGCACATATGCCTGGTATGAGTTTGAGCCACTGGGTCTGGGACTCAAACTGTGGTAGACTACATGGGAGTCCAGCAACATAACCATTATGCCACCTCAATTCACTGCTGACAGAGCACTTTTCTCACATTTTTTCACTCTGCTCAGAAATTCTAAATCAAAGCACCCAAGATTCTATAATCTAGCCCACCTTTCCCCCACTGTCATCCTACTTTCTTCCTTTCCCAAGGCAAACTCCTTTCTCTCCTTTCAATATGCTCTGAATTTTTGGCCTTTGTAAACCTCACTGGTCCCCAGCTCTTCTCATCTCCACTGGTTCAAATCCTATCAGTACTTCACTGTTCTATTAAATGCAAGGCTTCAATAAAGCATTCCTAGTCGATACACAGTCTCTGTCACGGTTTATAAGAACATGGTTGATTTTATAAAGCAAGTGGTTATTCTCTCATTCTAGATCTTATTATCATCATTATCTAGAATTTATAATAGGGATAGAATTATGTGGGATTGATTCTTTAAGCTAATTCAACCAAGATCAATTTCCTATCTGTCATAAAAGACAGTTGCCAAACACAAATGGATATGAAAACGAAGTCTTCCTTCAACAGGTACCAATATTAAACCTTAAAAAACAAAGGCTTTTTATGCAAATAAGGATGATACTTTACATGCTTATTAATAACAAGGATCCTCATTAAGAGAGAGAGCACATCAGTATGCCAACCCTCCCAACTGTCCAAACCAGGACACGCACTGAACATCATCTTTTTCTGCTTGACTGGACTCAGTACCGTTTTGTAAGGAAATGGATAGGACTTCGGAGCTGAGAGAATCCTGACAGATAATTTACTGCATTTTGCCAACTTGCCTGGTCCCGGATTGGTGCGTCTTTCCCCAGGCAAACAGAAGAAGAGAACGTTCTATTGAATGACAGGAGTAGGAGAGAAGATGATTCTCTCTGCCGGAGTTTTTTTTAAGCGCCTCTCAGAAGAGGGCGGGTTTCCTTCTTCTTCTAGAAAGAGATAACGCCCCCCTTCGCTCGGACTGGTTCAGAGCAAGCTTCACATACTATTAGGGCGGAGAAAGGAGACCAGGACTGGGAGCAAATTCCGCCCGCCGGTGGCTCGCACGAGGGCGCCAGTCCTGGGAGCCTTCCCCCGACGCAGGTGGGGCTGCGGGCGCCCGCGGGGCCGCAGCCGAGGCGCAGGGCCCAGGAAGTAGGGCCCGGCCCGGGCGGAGATGTGGACTCTCCTGCGCCAGAGAGACTGGGCGGCGGGCGCTGGGCGCCGGCGGCGCTGGCTGTGCGCTGGGGCCCCGGTGCTGGCCGCCAGCCTCTTCACCCTCGGCTTTCTCTCGGGTAGGAGTGCCCTTGCCCAAACAAACTCGCAGTCTCACCAGCAGTCGCGCGGGCCGGCTGTTCAATGGGGTCCCCTTGTTGGTCCCTCAAGGGGCAGCGTTTCAGGGGGTGGGAGAGACAATGTGGGGGTGAATTCTCGCGAGTTAGGTGCAAGGCTGCTGCGGGGCGTGCAGGGTTGGGCTCTCCATCAGCTGCTTGTAGGACAGTCACCCAGGGTCAGGCGCAGAAGGGTGACAGCCTGAAACTGGACTCAAAGTTCCACCTACTCGAGCCGGGAGACACAGCACGTGTCGGGGTCTCTGGCGCTGGTGACAAAGTCGTCCAAGCAGCTTCGCAAGAAGCGGCTCCTAGAGTTAAGAATTTCTCTCTAGTCCTGACCTGGGGCTGCTTACGCGTGCAGGGAGATTCGGGGTTTCGCTCCAAAGAGTTATTTTCTTTTTGCGTTCTTTCGTCCTCGGGAGTCACAGAGGCTCGCGCGGGGCGAGCTGAGGTAGCGCCCGCGCGGGAACAGCGCCGCACCAGCGGGTCTCGCGTGGTTCCCGGCTCGGAGCTGCAGACTCAAGGTCCGAGCGAGCGGCGCGCGCAAGCCCAGACGCTCGGATTCTAGTTTGGATTTTTGCCGCTTCTTTGAAGGAGTTCAAGAGTCTCGCTCGGCCTCAGTTTTCCTATGTCTATGCTGAGAATAATATTATTTGCAACTTAATAGTTAATAAAATAGCATGTAGCGTTCCCAGCACAGTGCTGTGGTTTGGGGTACTTTATTTCTTCTGAGTGAAGAGAGATAACTAATTGGAATTTAATACACGAGACCAGCCTAAGCTAAACCAGGTAGTCGACCCTAGATCTGATTGTATGTTCTTAAATTCATTTATTTTATTCATGAGCGAGAGCACATGTGTATAAGAGACTCTTAGCAGAGTTTCATTCGGAGGTCCCTCCCCACCTCTTCTGCTCAGCAGGATCTTGGGAAACCATCCACCCCTTGTGTTTTCGGGTGGGCTTAGGATCTAAACCCAGGTTGGCTGGATGGCTTCCAGCTCTGCAGTTTAGTCAGTTACTGCCTGCCAATCCTTTTCTGGATATAGAGGACCAGGGCATGGACCTGCAGGAAACGGCTACTCAAATTCAATTTCTTCTCCTAGTTTGCTTTGTGACCTTGGGTTGTTCAAAGACTTTAGAGCCACGCTGTTCATAACTCACAAATGATTTTTAGTAACCACTGAGCGTTGTTGTTGGGCTTAACTGAGATAAGGATTCATTTTTTTTTTAACTGTAAAAATGGGAATGAGAGGGCGCAGTTGGCATAGGGATTAAAACCTTTTGTGTCTCTTAAAGGCAATTTATTCTCTCAGACATCACCCTCACCCCCCATCAATGGCTGACAGAACAGGTTCTTTATTAATGTTTCTTTCTTTTTGAGATGTTCTGCTCTCCCCTCTCCCACCAGCCTTGGTCCTTTTCTTTGCATATTTTAAATGTTTTAGTTCAAGTATCTTAACCTTAACCTCCCTGATCCCAGAGTCTAAATCAAGTGCTTTTATGCACAGGTGGAATCTAGATTCCTTTATATCCAAACATGTTTTTCAATATATATAGTCAATTAACATGTGTTAACATACTACATATATACACATATGTGTTTGTGCATGTGAATAAAATTGGAAAGCTCTATGGAAGCTAGCTGAGTGCTGATTTTATACCAATTGTATTTTCAGATCAAGTACTTTAAATAAACCCTATAGCAATGCCCCAGCTCTCTCAGATGAAAAGCCAACTGCAGGGGCTAACAGCTTTACCTAATGCGGTTACTCATTGCCTATTGCTTCCTGTGTGCCCAGGATGTCTTGCAGAGATGCTGGCTAAATTGTAGTTTCACTGTCACAGTTTGGATAATTATTTGTCCCCTAAAGGTTCATGTTTTGGAGTTTGGTGTCAGTGGGCAGTGATTGGGTCATGGTGACTTAATTGTGGAGGCACCAGTCTCATGAATGGACTAATGTTGTCCCTTGAGATTAGTTCTAGCACTCCTAATGAGGTCTAGCTCTCTTGAGGAGAGGTTAGTTCTCACGGTCACAGGTTGTTATAAAAGAGAGCTGCCTCCAATCTCCTGCTTCTACAGCCATATTGTAGACTAGCTTAACATTAGCCCCAGGCCTTTGACATTTCTAACCACCAGAACCATGAGTCAAATAAACCTCATTTATAACCTAATTTATAATCACCCAATCCATGTGATAGTGAACTATGATACTATGGCTTTCTGAACTTGAACCTCTCTGACATTCTTCAACTGGAAACATAAAATCTCAGCATTTTGTTTTAGTTTCAGAACCAGAGAAAATTAGAAGTTTGTCCTCACCAACACTTTGAAATAATTTATGTACTTAAAAATACATTCATAATTAATTAATTATAAACATTGATTAATGTTTACTCTGGATAAACAGAAGAGCAGTCACTGGAGATAAAAGATTTATGGAAAAAGAAAGTGTATCTCCTCTTTAGTTTCATATTCCGAAGATCTTATTTATGACCACTGTTTGAAATATGAAATACTGTATTTAATTTTCATACTGATTTCCTCATAGAACTTTCCTTAGAATAACAGCAGCACCTATCTTTAGAATTGTGTTAAAAATATGTTGCAATTTGTAATTTAACAATTGGTTTGCATATCTTTTTTTTTTCCCCATGGAAGTAGACAAGAGAAATTAAACTTTAGAAAATCCCAGCTAATCAGAGGCAAGTGATAATTTGTGTTTTCCATATGATATAATAATAAATAAAAATAAGACCTGTCTATGTGCCTGTATCTCATTTCTATATTTACTTGGATGTGTTTTACAGGATGGTTTATAAACTCCTCCCATGAATCTATTAAAGTCATTCCACAACATAGTGCAAGGAAAATGTTTTTGGATGAACTGAAAGCTGAGAACATCAAGAAATTCCTACAGTAAGCATATACTTGAACATCTATATGGCCAGCTTGTTTGAAAAAAATCATTGAGTTTATAAGTTTTTATCTAATATCTTATATAAAAAAACCTGTTTTTCTCTTTCAAGTATTATTTGTGTAGATCTGGCATCTTTATACTTTATCTAGAAAGGCTAATACTTTCAGCTGAACTTGATTGTCATAGAGGTGTTAGCTCAGGAGTCAGCAAACTTTTTCTGTAAAAGAGCCACACTTTTTAGGCCACCTACTCTCTATTGCAACTACTCAGCTACTGTAACACAAAAGAAGCCAGGTAAAATACATAAGCAAATAAGTGTGTAAGTTCTATAAAGTTGTACTTATGGGCAGTGAAATTTGAATTTCATATAATTGATGTGTTACAAAATAGTCTTTTTTTCCCCACTTGTTTAAAATGTAAGAACCATTTCTAGCTGGTGGACTGTACAAAACAGACAGTGGGCCAGATTGTCCAGTGAAATGTAATTCGCTGACTCATACTTGAAAGGAAGAAAGTATATTTTATTAAAAAAATAGTAAGGCTGGACTCTGGAATCAGAAGAATTGAATTTGCATTTCGTCTGTGCCCACCGATAGTAACTTTGGGTGGTGAATACTCACCTTCCTGCACCCTCATTCCACAACTGTAAAACGGGGATGCTAATGATACTGTTATGATGAGGATGAAGTTGGAGAGTATATATTTGGCACTTCTTAAAAACTAACTCCTTGTTTACTAAAATAACTGGCTCCAGTGCACAGCTGAAGAGATATATGAATAAATTTTAAAAGTATTTATAAAGCAACTACAAATAACAATTTGTATAGAATTGATATATGTAATTGATTAGAATTCTTAGGTTTATTTCAGAGCATGAAGTTCTTTTTCCGTATTTTTTTGGTTAAATTGGTTTAATATATGTGTCTAAAAATACTTGAAGTTCTTCTAGTAATTGAAGAATCCTCTAGTGAATACAAGTTGTGGTTTATATAAAAATACCATATATGTGTGCATGCGTGCACACACACATACACACACATATGCATTGGTGTGGACACATAATCATGTAAATACCTATATATCTACATTAATTATACTAGAATTAAAATTATGAGTAAAAATGTTAGGGCACCTCCCAGCTCTTTGGAAGAACTCTTTCAAGTGAAAACCTGGAAGCTTAAGCTTTTTTATTTTTGTGGAAACCCCTCCTTTGCTGCTGGCACTTATCCCACTATAATCAGGTGTAACATGTATAGTTAAAATAGGGGTCTGGCAAGATACGGTCTTCACACCTGGACAGAGCTGCTGTCCCTGCTACCTTCTTCCTTTCCTAACTTGTGACTTGGATTGACCAACAAAAAAAGATTGACCAAGAAGAAAAATGAATGTCTCCCTCGATTTCTCTTTCTGGACCCTTCAGTAGGTTCTTAGCAGTCAATTTCTTGTTTTTACTCCATGGCTCTAACCAAGCTCCTCCAACCAAGATGTTCAGCATTAACACACAAAAGAAAGATATTAAGAGAATACCTCTACTTACCCCTCTAGGACACAGGTTCTACAGAAAGCTCTTGCACTTTCCATGGAGCTTCCAAGCAAAATAGAGTCTGGCCAGCTCCATGGTCTGGTAGTTAAGGCAGCTCGATCCCATATGGCTGACTACAAGGTTCAAGTTGTGAACCAGGGGCATGAGAAACACATCAGGTGTATGTGCACAATTAGTGTACATAGATTTCAAAACAGACTTGGAAAATCTATTTGATGCAATAATAGTACCATTTTTTGTTTTTTAATGTATCACATTTCAAGATACTTTTGTGTAAATCTCGTTTTGTTGTTGATTGAGGATAAAGACTGACTAAACATTAATTTCTAATCACTTTCACTTTTTGTTCACCAGTAATTTTACACAGATACCACATTTAGCAGGAACAGAACAAAACTTTCAGCTTGCAAAGCAAATTCAATCCCAGTGGAAAGAATTTGGCCTGGATTCTGTTGAGTTAGCTCATTATGATGTCCTGTTGTCCTACCCAAGTAAGACTCATCCCAACTACATTTCAATAATTGATGAAGATGGAAATGAGGTAAAAAATAAAAACCTCCCAAATCTATTATTTACAAGAAATCTTTTATGAAAGAGTGCCATATTTCATCTCCAAATGGTCACAGAAATCAATACTATTGAAACTTGGAAATAATACCCTTAATCTTCCATTACCAGCGTCAACTCCTTTCTTATTGCATTGGAATTTAATGTGATGTTGGAAAGATTCTGAAAAAATTATATTAGTGATAGTTGGTATTTTTTTTTAGTATTCACACCAATATTGAATATAATTTACTAATAAATGTCAAAGCAACTAAAAGAGGTATATTTTTGATAGACAAAGACATTGCAAAGACAGACCCAGCTGTATACTTTCAGAAGATTTTTATTTGTACTTAGTGATTCTGTCTCAAATTAGCATGTGTTGTGTGCAGCTCTGTTGTGAGAGCATTCAGAGGGGAAGAGAGTTTTCAATAGATCTAAGGCACAATGTCTACTCGAGAATTTACTGTCTTGTTTACAAGTTGGGCCACATACTTGAGGAAGAGAAGATAATGCAGATAACTAAAATATTTTTATCTTGATATATGTTCAATATGAAAATTCATAAAATATAACTCATATATTCATCCCTGTTTAATAACCTTATAAATACTTGTAAATTCATCTCATATCTTAGTTTTAGCACTACCATATCTAGAATAGTCTTTCAATCTGGATAACTTCATGTAGTCTTTTTGTTACTGGACCTTCTAAACTCTGTATAGTTTCAAATATGTCCAGCTTGATTGAACTGAAAATATCACATTATTTAAATAGGTATTAAAATGTATTTTCAGCAGTTAGCATAATGGCTATGTTGCTGGACTCCCACGTAGCCAACTGCGGTTCGAGTCCTGGACCCAGCAGCTTAAACTCATGCCGGGCGCGTGTGTGGGCAAGCCCCAGATCC